CTGAGCCATGTTGGTAGATGCAGACTACTTGGTTGGGGTCCGCGTGACTTTCGTAACCGATGGTTGGAGATTCTTGGTGACATGGCTCAGAATCGATCACAATGGCGTAGGTGTATACACTCCCTGTCTTCCCTCAAACCAAGAGATTAAAATCACTTCATATCTTTCTTTCTACGAACTAATTCTTTCTTTCTGTACTGTATCCTTATATGCGATCTTCCTCCTATATATTACCACCTTTGACCTAACCACTGCTATGAATCCGGTGTCCATCTTGTTGTGTTAATGAGGTATGGCAACCTGGACCTATGCATATATGTGCCTGGTCCTACGTTGTAGCTGAATGAATGAATAAACTTATCAACAACTATCTAATGATAATTAACTGAAAATAAAACTTATTTTAAATAGTACGTAATTAAATAGGAATTTTTGTAAAAACTTGATCGTTTTCTTTTGTTATTCATATAAGTGATGTGTAGGGATAAAGATAATATTCAAAGACAGATTTTTATCAGCTAAGCGACTAACTATATTGAAAATTAACATAATTCACCCCATTTCACAAGCAGGTGGCTATCAGGACTCAGTATCTAAGTGGAGAACGCTATGGCGTTTGAAGTGAACGGTACTGGGTTCGAGTCCTAGAGTGAACATCAACTCTGAGATGCAGGTACATTCAGCTGACGGGTCCCAAATAGGACGAAGTGACGCTTGTCCTGAATTTCACTGCTCACCACTATCCATCTTTGCTTCAAAAGTTTGTGACTTAAAGCTATATCGATGCAATACCCACAGGATGCACATATGCCAACATGAGATTGATCAATTTCAGTCTTAAATAACAATCAGAAGATACAAGCAAAACAACACCAAGTGAGTTTATAATTCATAATTGGTCTGATGAATATGTATGATGATGAAGATAGATGAATCTGTAAATTGCAAAAAATAAGTATTATAATTGCAATGAATCAAGCATAGTACCTATGACAATTTTCCTTCTTAAAAAATATCATAATTGATAGCTATATATGAAGTTTATATCATAGATGGATGTTGGCTAGAGAGCCATTACAAACTAGAAATCACTAGGCAGCTTTTTCGTCTTAATATGAGACTCAGCAGTAGCCATCTACAACTCAGTCAGTGATCGAACCCAGGGCCTATATTTCTCGTAGCGCATTTTTAACCTTCAGACCATTGAGTTCTCGCTCAATAGCTTACATTTCCCACTTCAATCAATTCACGCTATTTTTCAATCATCTTCCACTGTCATTGGTGGGTAACTGACACCATTAAAATAGTCAGATTTCAACCAGTAACGTCGTAGTGGGGGTTTGATTTATGAAATTATATACACCAGTTATTATCACGAGTAAACACTGGAAGTTTTTAGTACATAAAAAAATATTCATGTTTTTTTTCTTAGTTGCATTAAGAGGTGGCTTTTAGGTTATAAATCAGTAGGATGCACATTCAAACCCGCTTCTACAGATTCGGTTTAGACTATCAGGTAGAATATTGCTAACAATAATATTAGCAGAGTAAGTGAACTTTCAGTTGGTAAATGAGTTAAGTTATACATAAAAATACCTTATTGATAAATTCTGAGTCTCATAACTAGATCAACGCACACTTCATTGCAGCATTCTTGCCTCATCTATCAAACAAATACTCCAATAATATAAGCTAAAAGTATGTTTTTAAGATGATTTTCTTGGTAAACTGGAAGTATTTAGGTACAAATCTTTTTATTTATATTCACTGATACTTACAGAGACCGAAAAACTTATCCAATCACAACTGCCTTACATATATACACACACATCTGTTAGTGGACATGGTCACAAACCTAGATATACTACTGATATATAATAAACATTTTGTTGCATGGCAGCACTGATGATATTCTAAAAATAAAACATCATTGTGTCAATGGATATTTTTAATTCGCTCATCTGAAATTTGTTTCGAATCATTGTAAGGACATACTGGCCATTCTAGGCATGACTTACAGGTTAATCAATAATATTTCTAAATGACCTGATAGCTGAATATAACATCGTCATGAAAAAGTTGTTGAATAAACAATCATTATCATATGTTTACCCACATTCTATAATTAACTTTTGAGAAGTAGCAAGGACAGATTTTTTTAAAGCTTAGACCCTGTAGAGCGAACTATAACCAGCCTAATTGTAATTGAGTTCAAGACAAAAACATTACTGTAAATGTGGGTATTTAAAGATCTTTAAATATTGATCGACTGTGAACAGCTATTTGTCTCAAAGATTCAAGAAATCAATGTGTGGTACTTTCTGTACTCATGATAGTCAATGAAAACCACCATAACTGAGACTATGACAAAATTAAATCAGTGAAAATCATGGATTTGGCAGAACAATACATGCATCTAACCGATATTGTTCGAATACAGTCCTTACAAACTGTAGGTACTTCTTCGATATATCATTCAGTTATACCCCGTCATTAAAACATGTCCAGAAACGGAGTCAAATTCAGGTGAAGAAATACACCAGTGGTCAGGCATTTGTGCCCATCTTTCGAAACGAAGAATGAATACTTAATTTAAGCATCCAGGTCCAGTTCAGGAACAAAGCTGGTTTTCTTGGATTCGCTATAACCGAGCTCCAGTCAGGAGTCAAATTATGCAAAGCTAATATTTCACACGTGACATTAATCGGATTGATTTTTCTGTTGTTATAAAAAGTTTACTCTTCCGTATAAACTGAGACGACCAGTCTAATAGAATTAACTCCAGCTCCTCAACTCAACTAATAACTCCATCAACCCTATTTTTATCACTTGATTACCCTTATCTGATAGACCATTGGAAATAAACTTTTAATACTACCCAAAAACTTAGCAGTTATTCAATAGCTAAAAATCAAAATGGTCCCAAATCACTAACACGTTTTATCACTATCTCAGTTTTCAGTAATATATAATCTTAATACTACGGAGAGGACTCCCTGGGGTACTGTGTATATTACAGGGCGATACGACAGCGTTTCGAGAGAAAACCTTGGATATGCTAACCATTAAAACTTCTAAATAAATATTTAAAAAAATGAAATTCAACTTATTAATGCCAGCTGCTTAAGCAATCAAAGCGATCTAATCAGTTGACTGAAGTTAGGAATTTAAATCATTGGGTACCGATTAAAAGCGCTCGCCACAAGACCTGAATAAACTGGGTTCGATCCTAAGTGGGATCGTAGATGCGTGCTGTTGTGGTGTCCAACAGTAAGACGACAGATTTATTTAGAGCTTCCTAGATTTCAATGGTTTTCTAACTAAAGTCAACTCATACATATATTCCATGAATTTATTCCTTCGCTTTCGGGACAAAGTGGCTTTTTACTATTATTAATACTAGAATTATTTATCTTGATAATATCCACTATGCTGACGTGAAGCACAGCAATCTAAACGGAAACATATTTATCAGCAGAAGTGATGAGGGAAGGTAATGATTTTGGAAAACAAGAGATTATGATCAAGGTAGAATAAGTGGTTGGACAGATCTTTATAGTATATAAAGTTCTAGGTTTCTAGATGTATGGCAAATGTTTCTGCAATGCAAAGAGGACGAAAGCTCAGTCTTTGGTGAGTTCTTATCTACCTTGTAGACGATTTTGAACGCTGCGTTTGTCATGATCGAACAAACCGTGTTCACATGCTAATCGATTATTGAGACGTTTACAGACACATTTCCTCCTTTATGTGGCCAAGCTATGAAATGCTCATAGATAGAATGAGCATTGAACTACATGCATAATTAGATTCATAAGAGCATGTAAACTGGTAATTAAGCACACATGTGGTAAGACCAAACAGCTTACCACTTAAACTTTTCCCGAACATCAGTTCGCTGAATACTACTAATCAATAAGTTTGTGAGTGAGAAATTATCCTTAGTATGATTGGAGGTTCGACGCCTTTGAAACTGATTTAAAGGATTTACTTCGATGGGGAATCTACTTGTAGTTTTAGATGTTCGAATTTTATAATTGTGTCAATAAGTCATGGGGGATATCTATTTTGACAATGACTTTACTTATGATGTTCATATGTCAAATCAGTACTGAGAATCCTTCGAATTCGTACAGCAGGAGACAATGAGATCCCCCACCTGCTTACCATTACAGACGTACATGTTGCACATTTCTAAAAATCAGAACTATACATAAAAGGAACTTATTCAATCTCTTCTCCAACTATGGATTTAATTTCTCGTTTCCCAAGGTAAACCTCCTCCTCATATCTCCTTTCTATTGGTTTTTTACTTCGTAGTGACGTATTTCTGCCTCCACATATTCTATGATCATACTTATTTCAAACTTATTAATTTGTTTTATCACGCTAAGCAACCCTTCTTCACAATTATTTATTTTTATCTATTTTCTCGATGAATTTACAAGGTCTCAACAACTACATTTCCAGTTTCTTAGTAAGAATAACATATCAGTATTTCTGCTTATTCCATCTCTCCATTATCATGTTTAGCAAATTTATTACCATAACCATCATTCTTATTAACAGTTATATTCATTATCATTCTGAAAAAAAACGAGTATATATTTTTGATATGAAGGTTTGAAAAATGAATTTGCCGAAGAGAGAACTCTACTGAAACAATCTTTGAAATTTTGTGTTTCAATGAACAGATTTCATTTACATCTATATTCGTGCCAGTATTTATGTTATGACTGATTAGAATTATAATGCACTTTGATTAACAATAAAGGAAAATTAAACAGGGGAATTCTATACTTTACTTTTAAAAAATGAAATAAGATGAATCACTTAACACATTGTATGAATGTCACACTTAAACGGTAACTACTGCATAGTATGCTTATAGTAATGACAATACAATTCCCTCATTTAGCACTTCAATTATAAGACAATATTGATTACTTCAGTCGTCCCACCTCCTTAGAATAATCAGATAAATAAGGAACAAAGATGTAAGAACACGATGATAATAATGTGTTACATATGGCTATTGTTATTTTTATCATTAACCAGTCTAATGAAATCGGAAATAAAAAGTAAATTTAAGATATTAAAAAAACAACACAGGAATTCGACCATAAGGAATGCGAAAAGGTAGTGCGCGCACACATAGCATATATATGTGATTAGAAACGAACCCATACACACAAACGACCAGACATAAAAACTAAAATATATTTCTGTTTTCAATTGAGACTACGATTTGGACACAATTTATTCGATTCAATTTTATTATCGATAAGTTGTTATAATAATACTGCTAACAATGTGAATAGTAATAATAATAATGATCAGAGAATCTGTAGTGTGATGTAGTGAATATATGTATATATGGAGAGAGGGAGACAGAGAGGAATGAGTTAAATGATGACGGCAGATGAATACGCACTGACATGCTCCACATATATAATACAATAATGACGGAGTCTAATTAGCATACATAAAAAATTAACGCTTTTTTACCAGAGAAAAAAAAGGATGAATAATTTAACAATAGTCAAGTGAATTAATTACATTAACCAATAATGATAAGAATCAGATTGCAAGGTAAAGCATACCTACACATTAGACACCTAGAAAACTGATCATGAAAGTAAAAACATACAAAATGAATATTAAACAGCATACACAGACACACATACATTATCATCATCATTATGAGACAAATACGCTAGACTAGAACATATAGCGTAAGGTACATATGCATTTTTCTAAGCATCAATTGTAATGATCTGTATTGGGAAACACTAAGTAGTGACATTCACAAAAAGAAATGTATTTATCTCACTTTTATTACACGAGCTACAAACACACACACACACACAAATCAATGAATGAGATGTATAGTATGCTTTTTGTCATTTACAACAGAGATCCAATTCAAATAGTTTCATATTTGTAGTTATGTGATTTTGTTAATCAGAATTGTCTAAGAAACAAACAAACAAACAAAAGATTAGTTGTTATAACAAATGACTAAATTGAAAGTTTATATCATTGGGAAAATGGACGAGAAAATAAACTCAAGAAAAATATCTCTCATTAAAAGAAAAAAAAAGTAAATAGAAACTAATCATTAAAATAAAAACAAAAGGATAATAATCCAGTTAAGAATTACAATATACGCCTAGGATATTGTAAATTTTGAAAAGGAGTCAAAGCAATAGTGTTATCAAGTCAATTTGTAAATAGATTGAATAGATTAAAAGACAGAGAAAGAGGTAATTAGCTTAGCATTATAGAGATAGGTCATTACAAGATTCATACATACATACATACATACACAGATCGACAGAGATAGAGAGAATTACTGAAATAGTCATAAATTATAAATTGGATCTTTTTCAACATTGAAAAAATACAACAAGAATATTATGTAATAATTCTCTCGGAATGTTACTCAATGATTGTCACATAGATTGATTTAAAAAGGAAATGAGATTTCTTTTTCTTGTAAAGAATAGCAATTATAGTTTTACAAAATTCAACACACACACATACATTGTTGAAGTGGTTCACATACTCCAACTGTATTGAAAGAGTGAAATATGAGTTGACTGATGCTGATTAAAATAACTGATTTGGACGTATTATCTTTAGAGATTTATTATTATTATCGATGAAATTAACGGGGAAAGAAGGAACACACGTGTATAATGAACGGAAACCGCTAATGACTATGACGATCTTGATGACAATGAGATAACAATAATAAGTGAAATTGATAAATTTCTAAAGAAAACTACTACTAAAGAGGAAAAATACAATGAGAGAAAAACAGAAAATAAAATGCTGTATCACTGAAATCTACTTCGCTCCTTCTCCCCTACACACACACACACACTATTCAAATGTCATAATGGGTCTTAAATTAAGTATTTATTATTTTTTTTAAAAGGAGGAGAATAGCATCTATCACCGACAATGAAATCAAAATTATTCAATAAAGAAAGCATGGTATCATTGTAATATTTTTCTCTTTCTATCTATTCAGAAAGGATTGAAATTGGACAATTGATAACGAGTAGTAGAATCACTAGTATGACCAAGTTGTCCAACCACTCCATTCTGTAAACCAAAAAAAATGAGAGAAAAAAAAGGAAACAGAAATTCAGAATTCTGGACACAGTAAATGTTTAATCGTAATAGAAGTGTTGAACAAGTTTATTATACAACACAACAAATTACAGAACGAACAAGAAATAATTTTTCTAAACAATCCTCCCATTTAGAAATGCTTATCTTTTATCAATATCATAACAAAAGGTATGAGTTTACAACTCAAAATACTTAGAATTTCTTTTCGTATTATCTACTCATTTAAAACAAAGAGCAATTTTCAGTAACACAACTTTAACTGACAGACATTCATTATTAGTGTGAAAATCTTTCTCAGAGAAAAAGAACTACAATATGTTTTGATTATTACATACAACTTTCACACAGAATGTTGTTTACTACTATTGAACAGGAGATATTTGTGAGTCGGGAAAGAAGTACGAAGTAAAAATACATACGAAAATCGATATCATGCAGAAGCTGTGATCAGTAAGATCGTCAACAACAATCCAGTGTTTTTTGGGAGAAAAAATTCATTTTAGAATAGAGTGAATCAGAAAATGTTAGCTGCTTATACATTTTCAGAAGCAATATCATTCACCTTCGTCGTATTCTCTATCTTCCTAAATTTACATCTAGGCCAAATTTATTAAGCGTAAGCAACTACTATTTTTAACAGTTTGGCTTATCGATTTTATCACTGGTCTTCCATCTACAACGAATCATAATGAAAATAGAAAGCCTGGCACAAATATGTATCAGTTCAAGTTCCCAAAATACAACAACACAGTATATATATAAAACAGATAATCATATAGGAAATACCAATTTGATGTAACTTACAAAAAAATATTATTAATTTTACGCTGAATAGTAGATATTTCATTACATGTTAATCACATTGTTAATACTATAGGGAGTTCTAAATATTCCACGATCTGGACAGGGTCAAACTAGAATACGATGACTGATCCATTTTCAAATAATCAGTGCTAGAGGACAAGCCTCGATTACATTAGCAAATAAGGATTTAAATATGATGTTAACTGATATCTGATGACCAGTTATTATAAATATATTACCATATACTACTTAGACAAAATTTCTCTGAATCATTTAATACATTTGTTTGAATTTGAAACCACGTGGCTAGTACGCAAATGACTTGAGCAGTAAACAGGAATAGTAAGTCGTATGAATTGTTTGGACGTAATAGTATAGCCCCCAAATGCCCTGGTACGACCGAGAGTGGGGAGAGCCCGCTCTCCCTCTCCAAATGCTCTCACATGGCCACGCGTATAGCCCCTGCCAGGGAAGTCCTACTCACCGCCTTCTCGCACCAGGGGTGTTGTTTACAAAATTAAGAGGACGAAAAGCGAAAGTCCGGCGCTTTAACTAGGTTGATGTTCCGTACGGAGAGTCAACCTAGGGGAGTTGGAAAACCCTGATTCCAAACCGATGGTCACATGGACTCCAGTATCCTGAGGGAACAAATGGCGTATGAACTAATCGTTGGTCACCGGCTGCCATGGGACTGCATCTCCTTACGATGCTCCACTGCCTTGTGGATCAGACCTTCAAGTCGAAGGCTCGGGGAGTGGCCCCCTAAGAAAACCACCTACTTCGGTTTGGGCACTCGATCAGTATCACATCCCTCACACATATCAAATGAGGTTTGTGTGGCGCATATGTATTTGGTGCATTCTTGTACCAATATCTATGTGTTAAAATAAATAAATAGTATATTAGTATGATGTACACAAATAGCACTAAAAACGGATTAAACGTGTTAAATACAAAAATGCCTAGATGAAATATGACATATTCGAAATATGAATCACTCACCACGGGATTATTCATTTTTGTAGGAAAATTATTAGCTGGGTGCATGGTGGGTGAAAAAGAACTAGAAGTTACTTGTGAATGATAATGGGCAGATGTAAAGTTCGCCAAGTTAGAAAATGGGTTTGCATTAAATGACTGCTGGGCATTTGAGAGGAATGGGTTTTTACTTTCTGGATTGGATAGACTCAAAGTTTCAGGAAACTGATTGATACTTGAAGGTACTGTCATAATGGGATAACTTGTGAATGGATTAGTAAATCTGTTAAAAGCTGGAGGATTTGGAACTCCAACTGTTGGATTGGCAAAGGGATTGAGTGATTGTAAACTATCCTTGAAAGATTTATTCGCAGACCATCCATGTGTTGTTTCGACAACAGGATTATTGGAATAAGAAATATGAGGTGAGAATGGGGTGACCCATTCACTGGCTGATACACTAGACACATTGGTTTTAGGTAATGTAATATCATTTGCACCTTTTTCCATTATTTCTGGAGTCATTGATTTAAGTCCGGTATTTTTAAATAAACCATCCAATTCTGCAAGTGCGGCATACTTATCTCCACCACTTGGACCAGGGAAACTAGACATTGTATTTATCGATGAACTTGGGAAAATATTCGATATAGTAGGATTTATGTTAGAAGGGAATGATTTAACTGTTGAATTATTTATAGAAGTAAGGACATTAGGACAGAAATTTGCGAAGAGATCAGACTTCGTAGTAGTAGTTGTTGTTGTTGTGGTAGTGGTGGTAACAGCAATAGTATTTGAAGAGGAAGAAGTTGGAGTGGAAAAAGAAGCGAATGGATCAGCGGTCGCTTTGTTAAATGCATCCTGTTTTTGACTAAAGGTGAAATGATTCGTGACAGATTGTTGTGGTATCTAAAATTTATGATAAGATTTCATAAATCTAGAGAAAAACAGTCTGCAAAAGAACACAATGGCACAAACAGTATAAACAAAAAACATCGTAAACCATTCTTGAGTTTAGAATGAGAACACTTCAGTTTTAGATTACTGTAAGCATGAAACTAGAATACTCTAAATCTAAACGCATATAATCGATGGCTAAAAAATACGTCAAGTTGTGTTATCACATGGTTAACTGGCTCAGCTGACTTGTCGGACAGGACTAGGGCACTGGGATCGCCTTTTGTAGTAAGGTGCGTCTGATTTTACTGACATCTCCAAAATCCAGTACAGTAACACATCACGTAAAGTAATAACATACAACAAACTTTCCCGATTGCTACATTCCCGCACTGCGGTTAGAGATAGGGTTGTTCAATCTCGCCACTACTTTTCAACTTTTGCATCGATGAGATTCTGGGAACTGTTTTGATGGTGACATGGATCTGTTACTTGGAGAAGTTCTCGATCTTTATTTGAGAATATTCGGTGACTTTTTTGTTCGATCATTGTTATCTTTGATGGAGTGCAGAAATCTATGAAACAACTGTTTCCTTTGTATCGTCTAAACTTGCATTAATTTATTTCTGTTATTTATTTACTCTGGAGTGGCTTGCATTAAGTCACGAAACGTCAGAAATATAAGTTTCTACTCATTGGGATATAACAAAAAAATGTTTGTTTATTATTACCTTTCTTGATTGAATTTCCAACTGAACTTACTCCCCGTAATAAACCACTTGTTTACTTGTTATAACTGCGGATGCAATTGTTTACTTGCCCCCTGAACAAGGGCTGATACTACTCGACGTAAGAAAGAAGATAAAATTGTAGACAAAGAGTTTATTATACAGCAACCACAAATCCCCGGCTGACCAACCACTAATTCAAAAACTGTATCGAAGGTATACTGAATTATGTATTATTTACTTACCTAGTCAATAGGTTTATTCAAATATATCGAACTAGGCAGTAGTTGATGCAAATTAACCAATAATTTAGTGTATGTATGGAATTCGCAACGCCAATTAACTTAACTGAACTAACTAACAATATAATAAATTACTGAGTTGAATATTTGCTTTGTATTGATACATGGTATTCCCACTAGGTGTTAACAATCCTTCGGAAACAACGATGATTCAACATAGAGACGTCACCGAATATCCTCAAATTAAAAGTGAGAAGTTTTTCTCCACATAGCAGATTCACATCATCACTAACCAGTTCTATTATAGCTGTTTCCAAAATGTCATCAATGAAAAAGTTGAGGAGAAAAGATGAGGCTGAATAACCCTGTCTAGCATCCAGCTACGTTAAGATTATCTTGACATCAGAACAGATGGCTTCACAAAGACCATTGGTAATCAAGTTTATAACTTCGCTAACCAGTTACACGGTTACATACTGATCACAATTAAATATTAAAAATCGGTTAAACTGCACACCTATAAATATATTCGCTACTCATTATGAAGGCAGTTAAGAATAGATAACGCGGTATAATCGGTTACATATTAAGACTAACCAAGCTGTCTCCATTGACATTACTAACTTGTGTTGTCCCGCTGGTTAGATTGCTTTGGGAAGGAAGATTAGTACTTGAACGAGTAGGCAGAACAATAAGTCCAGCAGCTGCATTACCACATGTATTACGTTGGCCTTTCTGATTCATGTTTTTTTCTGACTGCTCAAGAAGTTCTCGATTTTCTTTCAAAGCTTCAGATTCTATCTGCGACGTTGGTTCGCGATACCTAAAAGGAATAAGATCACTAGATTACTGATCCATAGATGCACTGTGGGCAATAATCTGTTTAGAATTGATAAACATTTGTAACAGAAACCGAGATATCAACAATAAAACTTAGTTGGACTACAACATTTACAAACCAAATATTGATTCATGGAGAAATGTAATAATATAGCAGTACGTAGGAAATTCAAATAACAGAGAAGGCTGAATGACACTATGTTTTATCGCACTGTACTAATGGGACATGGCAACTTGAACCGGTGGGAGCACGTGTCCAAGGACCTACGTCGACTATGACTGACCGATTCCTGCTACGCGATAGGGGTATATCAACGCAATAGCGATACATAACGTAATTGGTGCACGCAAAAGCGACCGCAATCCAATTAAAAGTCAAAACTCTTGACCCAGGTGGCAACTATTAAGAAGACAAAGCGTGCACTGCAAAGAATATACAGTAGAGGAAAATACTTACTTAAACCTGTTAACTCTCATGGGGCATAGGCCGCCATCCAGGAGGTAAGAATGCCAGCCCTTTATATACAAATTCACTTTGTAACGATTGTCAATAATTAGGACTTAAATGAATATCATATTGAATGAATATATAGCAGAAACTGTCGGAATACACTTGAATACCATATTGAAATAATCAATAGCTGAAATTATCAGAATACAATCAAATGTTATAATAGGCGATTATCATACTGATTTAATCAATAATCATGCGTTCCTTACCAATAAAACACCGACTATGTGGTAGAAAAAGTATTGTTCGAGTAGTATGCCATACTCAGTGTGATACTCTACTCGCCTATGACCCAGTTACTGATCATAAAAGCTTAAGAGACCCAGGATACATTAGTGGATAAAAAGTTTCCAAATGTTTCTACATATTACGCCTAATAATACTAGCCAGCTCTTTAAACTGTAGTGGCCCGAAAGTGCGTATTTTAGTTACTAAGCTACTGTACTAATACCAGTAGGTTAGAAGTAAAGTTCTTTCCATGAAATAATTACCATATTGGACATTGATGACTTCTTATTGTTAGGAGTCGAAAATATTGAATCCGAAGTAACATATACTTTTCCCGTGAAGTTTCATTACCGGTGAACTTTGAAGTGCAGATACAATCCTATAATATATCTCAAAAAGTTACCATGAACTCAGCTAAGTCAGCAAGATAGATCAAATTATAAACAGCTTATTGAACAGTTTCAGTTGATACACTTCAATTAGTTTATTTCCAGCCCAAACTGAAGCAGAGGGTGGGGCCCGAACCCAGGACTTAATGGTCGAAATTCGAATGGTCTATCCACTAAGCCAACGTTCAAGAAACTGGCGTTATCACTGAGTTATTAGGACAGCTAAGAACAAAACAGTTAAATATAACTCGACCAGCAAAACAAATTCTTTTTTACCTGGAAAACTAGTACAAACTCTACGGATATTTCCAAGAAAAGTGACACGCTGAATGACACCGAGCTCTCATCAGCAAAAGGCATGCAATTATGATAACCAGAAAGGTAACACTCGCACAATTTGAGTCACATTTTTACTCACTAATATTTCAAAGGTGTAGTATTATTCTTTTGCAAAATAAATATGACGTTAATGTAACGATTTGACGTGTCGGAATTTAATAGGAAACGTATCTAATCAATTTGAGTATTAGAGAAGCATAGTATACCTACAAAACTAGGTATGTAAAATATGTGATAGAATAGATCCAAAGATTACTTCGTAATTCCTGCACTGATCTGTGATTATAATACGCGAAAGTTCATTCTATGTTGTTTCGTGGTTATAAAACAGCCTATGAATGGACAAAACAGGAATAACCAAGTAGCGTCCAATCACAAATGTCATTGAAGTATAGCTCAATCATGGTGAGACCTTGCAGTGAGCAGTACTGAAGTTAGTAATAAACTATCACATAGAAATATCTATATCCGTTGTGTATGAGTGACCGACTGATAGAAACCATGGTTTCAGTCAGTCAGTAACAACGTAGAACTTCGTACGTACGTATATCAGTTCGAGTTGCCAAACCACATTAGCACACAGATGCAGTGGTCGATTCAAATCCCGTAGTAGTAGAGGTAATAAGAGTATAAGCAGTAATCGGGAAGATTAGTGTTTGGAGATGTTATTTAAAGAGTATAGTACAGTGAAATAAATTTGAGGGAAAAAAAGAGACAAGGAGGAGTAAGGAGATCAAAATTTGGGAGGACACAAAGAGTAGACGCATCTGCGCCATTGCAAACGATTTTGAGCCATGTCATTCAGGGTCTCTAACCATCGGTTGCTATCATCTCGCGGTCCTCAACCAGGTAGTCTACACCTACCAACATGACTCAGACCACTTGTCAGTGACTTCATGGACTTGTGCCATGTTTTGGTCTGGCCGCCCCTAGCTTTCTTCCAACCTACTCCTATACCACTGAACATCGCACGTCGAGGCAGTCGGTCGTTGGGCATACGTAACACATGTCCAAGCCATCTCAACTGATCAAGTTTCACTGCGTCATCAATTGATTTGCCATCCTTACCTAGTGACCGTTTCCTAACAACTGCATTCAGTCAGTCAGTCAGTAACAACGTAGAACTTCGTACGTACGTACATCAGTTCGAGTTGCCACACCACATTAGCACAGAGATGCACTTGTCGATTCAAATCCCGTCGTGGTAGAGGTAATAAGAGTATAAGCAGTAATCGGGAAGATTAGGGTTTGGAGATGTTATTTAAAGAGTATAATCCAGTGAAAGAAATTTGGAAAGAGGAAAAAAAGGGACATGAAGAATTCAGAAGATTAGAATTTGGGAGAACACAGAGAGTGGATGCACCTGCGCCATTGCAAACGATTTTGAGCCATGTCATTCAGGGTCTCTAACCAACGGTTGCTGTCATCTCGCGGTCCCCAACCAGGTAGTCTACACCTACCAACATGACTCAGTTCACTTGTCAGTGACTTCATGGACTTGTGCCATGTTTTGGTTTGGCCGCCCCTAGCTTTCTTCCAACCTACTCCTATACCACTGAACATAGCACGTCGAGGCAGTCGGTCGTTGGGCATACGTAACACGTGTCCCAGCCATCTCAACTGATGAAGTTTCACTACGTCATCAATTGATTTGCCAACCATGGTTTAATTCCTAAAGATTTAAATTATCAAAAACTGAGACAACCGAAGGGTGTCATATAAACAAAACCATCACTTATCTTGTCATTTGCTAGTTAGTACACAGGTAGGTTGTAAATCTAGAGCTAGTCAGACCCACACGACAACAAGCGACGAAACCGATGATTATTGGTTCAAACTGTGTCTACGTCCGGATATAATTTTCATGCACTGATTTAAATATTTAGCCTGATGCTACTTTACATTAATTAAGGTGCTATCTCATCTCTCTGAACCATATTTTTGATATCCAGTTGTTTGTCATTATCCTATCTTTACCCTGATGAAAAATTGGACGGGTCCATATCTATTCACCCTCAAGTTATGACTGAAAAATCAGCCGATATTTACGGGCAGGACTCAGGAACGTAAAATATTGGTGGCGGATTCAACCAGCTCTAGGTAATTCATAAGGTTCTACTTGAAGTTAGCGTGGTAATTACACGAACACATATTGACTTCAAACCTTGTTCAAAATGGCTAATAAGGATGGAAATATTGATGGTACTACTGGTAGTGTTGAACGCAAAGCATTAAGTGAACGATGAAGGGCAACAAAGACAATGTCGAAAGAGGTACCGTAAACATTAGGTAGTGTTATGAACAGTGTTTATCCTTACTGTGCATGTTACTTTGAAGAATACAATAATGCTATCTTCCACCGAAAACCTTAGCTTTTTCATGCAAACTTTCATAGTTTTCGTAGCTGGGCTACTCTCTTTTTGAAAGGAAAAACCAAAACAATACACTCACCATTTTTGTAGCTGGTACTTCTGTCTTAAATAATTATCTAAAGCTCCATCTTTCAAGTCTTTCTCAGTCATGGTTTGGTCTTCGCTAAGAGCCAAATATATTTTTCGGCATGCCTATTTGAAATTATCCGTAGAAAACCACTGTACCTTGTTTCCACGAGTGCAAAGGAAGTCAATCTCTGATTGGGAAAAATTTGACATTGAGATTGATTTCACTCTGTGGTTATATTTTCTCCTAAGCATAACAATATTATAAGGTTAGTGCTTACAGAGCACCACTACATGTTGTACAAACAAAGGAACCAATTGTGATGTTTATGTACGTCGGGCCTCTTTGATGACAATCAAAACAGTACTTGTTTTCCCCATGAGTAACTAAAGTACGCAAAAACTGCAACGTAGGGTCCTGCATAACTTGACCGAGTCCGCCAAACCTCTAGTTCATGAGTGGCGCGTAAAACGACACTAGGTACAAACGTTCCTAGTTGACCAAACTTATAGATACAACAGCCAAGGTATTTATTTTAATTGCTTTCAGCCAGCGGAATGAATTTTGTGAGATTTATAATACAATTCACTGAGAGGTTAACATAAGCTTTAGATCTCTATACGCGCGAAACAAAAATAGCGGTGGTATTTTTCCGCGTTGAGTAAGTGTTTTAGCATTGATTGTATCCAAGAGTGGAAAAGCTCTTTTATATTTCATAAAGTCGGATATTTTCAGTTACAGCAACATACAAATCTCAGCCTTTTTTGTTCAGTGTCTATCACCATTAGAGCCTTAAATAAATGCTTATTCTAGAAATCAGTTTTTTGTTTTTCTCTCTGTAAGACTACCTAACAATTTAAGTGGAGCAAGCGAAACATCGTTTCGGTAGACTTGCATGTCTTTTTTTGGTCGAGGATAGAATGCAATGTGACAACTGCACTAAGTGGTATCACAACGTGTGCACCGGACCCATATCGGCTGCGTATAAAAGGTGCTGCAAGCCACCATCACGTTTGCTGATTCTTGCGGCTATCCAACTAATGGCTAGGAGGGTGCCCTCAGATAAAGAGCCAGTAGCAGATGATCAGCCTTCAGTTTTCGCGAAGGTAGCGAGCTTTATCATGAGTCCAGCTTTGGCTTTGAACAGAACAATCAAGGTAGACCCCAACAGTGTAGCGGATAGCAAACACAGATGCAGGTATAACTACAATGGGCAACAAGAAGTACACTGAGGAGAAACAAATCATGGGCAGCACTAAGATATGTGAATCTACGGTCTCAGCTCGGATTCACATGTCAACACAAAGCAGAATATGGAGAGTCACAACCTGAGCAGTGTAGGTGTTGCTCTCCAGAGACATAATAAATTCAATGATTAGCTTACAGTTACACCCAGAAAAATAAGGAAACAGATAGACCTCCGCATCTGCTTCCAGATCGGACAGGAGGTTTGGTAAGTTTCAGGAACCAAGACTTCACAGCTTGTAAAAGAGACGGACCTCCCAGACTGGTCAATCATTTTACACAGATTAAGAAAATCTTCTGAAAAGGAACCAAAAGACAGATATGAACATGGCCTAGTCCACACTTAGTCCTTATTCAGCATGATATCTCCAGAGTCATTAGCAGGAGTTAGAGCCTATAAGCATTGTAGAATTGAACAAAAAGTGGATTCTGAAGATACACAGAAAGGCTGCTTCGTAAAAGTTACCTTTACTTCTTCTGAAGAAACCCAACCTGACATGATCCGGAATATATGTCTGGGACGATCTCGGCCTGGTCGACCGCGTTAAGAGACGATCTGCACAAGGAGAAATAAGTGAGCGCCACCGGAACGGTGCAAATCCCTTATACTTTGGGTTTTCACACTGTAAAAGTCCGGAGTGCAATTATCTAAAAACTACACTGATAACAAGAAAAAGTTCTTCATTGAATTAAAGGTTACTTACTTACGCCTGTTACTCCTCGTGAAGGAGCATAGGCCGCTCACCAGCATTCTCCATCCAACCCTGTCCTGGGCAATCCTTTCTAGTTGTAATTCATCCTTTTCATATCTGCTTCTATTTCCCGACGCAATGTGTTCTTTGGCCTTCCTCTTTTTCGCTTCCCTTCAGGATTCCAAGTTAGGGCTTGCCTCGTGATGCAGTTTGACGATTTGCGTAATGTATGTCCTATCCATTTCCATCGTCTTTTCCTAATTTCTTCTTCAGCTGGAAGTTGGTTTGTTCTCTCCCACAGAAGGCTATTGCTGATGGTATCCGGCCAGTGGATGTTGAGTATCTTGCGTAGGCAGCTATTTATAAATACTTGTACTTTCTTGATGTGGTTGTTGTAGTTCTCCAAGTTTCAGCTCCATACAGTAGAACTGCCTTGACGTTCGTATTGAAGATTCTCACTTTGATATTGGTTGAAAGTTGTTTTGAGTTCCATATGTTCTTCAATTGTAGGAATGCGACCCTTGCTTTGCCGATCCTCGCCTTTACGTCTGCATCTGAACCTCCTTGTTCATCGATGATGCTTCCTAGGTATGTGAAGGACTCTACATCTTCCAGAGTTTCGCCATCAAGAGTGATTGGATTGCTGTTTTCCGCTTTGAATTTGAGGACCTTGGTTTTCCCTTTGTGTATGCTGAGGCCTACTGATGCAGAGACTGCTGCTACACTGGCTGTCTTCATCTGCATCTGTTCGTGTGTACGTGATAGGAGGGCTAGGTCGTCTGCGAAGTCCAAATCGTCTAATTGATTCTGAGTTGTCCATTGTATTCCGTGTTTTCCTTCAGATGTCGAGGTCTTCATAATCCAGTCGACCACCAGAAGAAAGAGGAAGGGAGAGAGTAAACAGCCTTGTCTGACTCCAGTCCTTACTTGGAATGCATCTGTCAGCTGTCCTCCATGCACTACTTTGCACTGTAGTCCGTCGTATGAGTTCCGGATAATGTTGACAATCTTCTCAGGAACTCCGTAGTGTCGAAGAAGTTTCCATAATGTCCTCCTATCTACACTGTCGAATGCCTTTTCATAATCAATGAAGTTGATGTATAGTGATGAGTTCCACTCAACTGATTGTTCGACGATGATCCGTAGTGTTGCAATTTGGTCTGTGCACGACCGATCCTTACGGAATCCAGCTTGTTGATCTCGAAGTTGGGCGTCTACTGCATCCTTCATCCGGTTCAGCAACACTCTGTTGAAGACTTTCCCTGGTATTGACAGTAGTGTAATGCCTCTGTAGTTTTCACATTTGCTCAGATCTCCTTTCTTTGGAATCTTGACGAGGTGTCCTTCTTTCCAGTCCATCGGCACTTGTTCCTCCTCCCAAATCTTTTTGAATAGAAGGTACAGCATGCTTGTGGTTGCTTCGATGTCTGATTTCAGTGCTTCAGCTGGTATGTTGTCGGGTCCTGCTGCTTTCCCGTTCTTGATTTGTCTGACGGCCATTCTAATTTCTTCCGTCGTTGGTGGGTTGACATCTATAGGAAGATCTATGTGTGCTGCTTCGATGTCCGGTGGATTCATTGGAGCCGGCCTATTCAGGAGTTCCTCGAAGTATTCTACCCACCTGTTTCGCTGTTGTTGAATTTCGGTGATTGGCTTGCCTTCTTTGTCTTTGACCGGCCTCTCTGGTTTACTGTATTTCCCTGCTAGTTTCTTCGTTGTATCGTAAAGCTGTTTCATATTTCCTTCTCTAGCAGCTTTTTCTGCCGTCGTTGCTAGTTCTTCCACGTATTTCTTCTTGTCGGCTCTAATGCTCCTCTTCACTTGTTTGTTTGCTTCTATGTATTCAGCTTGTGCTTGGACTTTCTCTGCTCGTGTTCGGCTGTTGTTAATTGCTGCCTTCTTGTTCTTCCTTTCTTTGATCTTGTCCAGTGTTTCTATAGAGATCCATTCCTTATGATGGTGTTTCTTTAGGCCCAGAACCTCTTGACACGTTGAAGTTAATGCTTCCTTGATGCCTTTCCAGTTGTCCTCCATACTAGTTTCTTCTTCATTCAGTAGATCTTGTAAGGCTTGGAACCTGTTGTTGAGAGCTATCTTGAATTCATTGAGTTTGTCAGTATCTCGAAGGAAGGCTGTATTGAACCTTTGTAGTGCTGTTTGTCCACTTGTCCAGTTCTTTTTCAGCTTCAGTTTTAAATTGGCTACAACTAGGTGGTGATCTGAAGCTACGTCAGCACCTCTCCTGGTTCTCACATCTTCCATTGTCCTTCGGAATTTTTTGTTGATGCAAATATGATCTATTTGGTTCTCTGTAGTGTGGTCCGGTGAGATCCATGTAGCCTTGTGTATACGCTTGTGTGGAAATATTGTGCCTCCTATGACCAATTTGTTGAATGCACATAGATTTGCAAATCTTTCTCCATTTTCGTTTCTCTTCCCAGTCCATGTCGTCCCATGATATCTTCATATCCGGTGTTGTCTATTCCGACTTTGGCATTTAGATCTCCCATCAGAATAGTTAGGTCCTTTCTTGGCATTTCTCAATGATTGACTGTAGCCGCTCGTAGAACTGATCTTTAATGTCGTCGTTGCTATCATTGGTGGGTGCATAACATTGGATAATATTCATTAAGATCCCCTCCTTCTTTGTTTTGAATGATGCTTTGATGATTCTGGATCCGTGAGACTCCCATCCTACAAGTGCATTTCGTGCTACTTTGGACAGCATAAGAGCGACTCCCTGAGTGTGTGGAGCATTGTCCTCTTCGTGACCGGAGTATAGCAGCATCTCTCCCGTAGCTAGCCTTTTCTGTCCAGCTTGGGTCCAGTGGGTTTCGCTGATTCCCAGTACTGCTAAGTTGTATCTCCTCATTTCCATTGCTATTTGACTGGTCTTCCCGGTTTCCCACATTGTTCGAACGTTCCATGTACCTATAAAAATTTTTGCTCTGGTTGTTAGAAGGGGCATCGGCCTCGTGGCTTCCGAAGGAACTCGGCTTTCACCATGAAGCGTCATAATTCTTCTAACTGAAGACCTTCTAACTCCCAGGGCAGAGTTTAAATGGTTTGAATAATTTTTTCTGGTAAGCGTTTTTTTAGCGAGTTAGTTTTCTACGGGATGGGGACGCTAACCCCATGCCAACCCTCCTCCTTTAGCCGGGCTTGGGACCAGCAGTAACCCTATAAGAGCTACAGGCGGAGTTTGGATTAAAGGTGTGTTATACAAATGATCTCAGCTTACTCAGTAAACTGAAGGAGTTAAAAAGTGTGGTGACACAGAAAATCCTGATGTCATAGCCATTTCAGAAGTATAATTAATGTCAGAAGTGTATGTAAGGAAATTCAACTGATTGGCTTCTCACTTAGTATGGCTGACAGATTAAACTTTTGGGTCGTATGGTTATTCTGACAATAAAAGAACCATAATCACACAAGCTGTCTAGTCAGTGACACACTACACGAGGAACTGGTGCAGAATAAAATGTAAATGGCAATATATTTAGTTAGTTGTAGTGTACCGCAGTCCTGAATGTGTAGTAGATGAGTTCCACCTAAGCAAACGCATGTTCTCCTGTGATAAAATTAAACGCCTTGTAGTAGGCGACTTTAATGTGTAAAATCATGGTTTGGTATGGTATTAGTGCTGCTCTAATAATAGACCTAATCCTAAATTTG